CTCCTCCTCCTCCTCCTCCTCCTCCTCCTCCTCCTTCCTCTGCTGCTTCTGCTTCTTCTCCTTCTTCCTATTATTATTATTATTATTATTATTATTATTATTATTATTATTATTATTATTGCCGCCCAGCTGCAATAAGGACGTTGGGTGCTTTACAATATGTGCAGTACGTAACTTAAAGGCCCAGCGTTGAGAAAATGTTCAAGAGGGATTCACAGATGCCCTCCTGTGCCAGGCCTGGGAAAAAAGCCAAGGCACTCCGGGGACATTCTGTTCTAGAGGGCAGGACTTGTACAGAGAAGGTCACAATTCCTTGGTCTCACAAAAAGACAGCATTGCATTGAAGGAACCTGTAGCCCCCCCCCCACTCTGCCCAAACACCCCAGGCGAACAGAAATACAAACTCTTTTTATTTAAGAGACCGGCAGTCCCTTGGAAAAACCCAGGCCCCCTGCCCCTGAATGGGATAAAAAGAAATGATCTGGATCAGTGGCGCCAGCAGGAAACATTTCTCGGCTCCCTCTCTGTTTTTAACCCTTTAAAAGCTGCAGGAACTCCTACGAAGAAAATCTGTACAAAATGTTTTACAGATGGCATTTAACACCGGTGAGGTTAGCAAAAATGTTGAAAAACATGCCTAGCAACTGTCGGAAATGTAGGCAAAAACCAGGCACTTATTACCATCTTGGGTGGACATGCCCCAAAGCCAAAAGATTCGGGTCAAGAATACACATACGGTTAGAGAAAATGACTAAAAAACACATAGATTTTAAGCCAGAATTATTTTTGTTGGGCGTAATTGTAGGAAACTATGAGAAAGAGCGTATATATCGAATTTTGCGTGTATTTAACTGCAGCGAGAATTGTATTCGCTCAACATTGGAAAAAACGAAGATTTCGCCAACGGAGGAAGAGTTAATTAAAAAAATTTAGATTGTGCAGAAATGGATAGATTGACATTGAAAATGAAAGAGAAAGAAAGTTCAGTATACTTTAGGACAGTGTTTCTCAACCTTGACAATTTTAAGGCATGTGGACTTCAACTCCCAGAATTCCACAGCCAGCAATGCTGGCTGTGGAATTCTGGGAGTTGAAGTCCACATGCCTTAAAAATTGTCAAGGTTGAGAAACACTGCTTTAGGACATGGGATACCTTTATCAATGGCTAGAAAAATGAGGTAGAGAGAAAGGAATTTAACATGTATTAGTTAAGTTAAATGTTGGAAACCCAGACCATGTTTTGCTGATAAAATATTAAGCATTTATGACTATAAAAAAAATAATAAAAATATTTTTTTTTAAAAAAAAGTTGCAGGAACTCAATTTAGTGAATCAGAGCTTTAGGGCAGCTGAAATTTCAAAGGTCTTCCTTCGTGTTTGGGGTGGCAACTTCTCCAGAACTTTTAGCGTAGCCGGCGTGGAGGAAGAGCAAAGATTTCTCCAGGCTGCTCTATTTAAGTGTGTGTGCGTGTGTGTGTGTGTACACAGCAGGAAAACTCCAAATTCAAATATATGGAGGGGGTGGGAAAGCACCTTTAAGAAAAGATAATCGAGTGTTTTCTTAAGACATTTTCCATAAAGGTGGAACCTTATATCTATTATTGTTGTTAGTTGCGAAGTCGTGTCCGACCCATCGTGACCCCACGGACAACGTTCCTCCAGGCCTTCCTGTCCTCTGCCATCTTCTGGAGTCCATTGAAGCTCCCGCCTGCTGCTTCAGTTACTCCATCCAGCCACCTCCTTCTCTGTCGTCCCCTTCTTCTCTTGCCCTCCATCTTTCCCAGCATTAGGCTCTTCTCCAGGGAGTCCTTCCTTCTCATTAGGTGGCCAAAGGACTTGAGTTTCCACTTCAGGATCTGGCCTTCTAAAGAGCAGTCGGGGTTGATCTCCTCCAGGACTGACCGATTGGATCGCCTTGCAGTCCAGGGGACTCGCAGGAGTCTTCTCCAGCACCATAGCTCAAAGGCCTCCATTCTTTGGCGCTCGGCCTTTCTTATGGTCCAACTTTCACAGCCATACATTGCAACTGGGAAAACCATGGCCTTGACTGTACGCACTTTTGTTGGCAGGGTGATGTCTCTGCTTTTTAGTAGGCTGTCTAGATTTGCCATAGCTTTCCTTCCCAGGAGCAAGCGTCTTTTAATTTCTTGGCTGCAGTCCCCATCTGAGGTGATCTTGGAGCCCAGGAAGATAAAATCTGTCCCTACCACCATTTCTTCCCCATCTATTTGCCAGGAATTGAGAGGGCCGGATGCCATGATCTTGGTTTTCTTAATGTTGAGTTTCAAGCCCACTTTTGCACTCTCCTTCTTCACCCGCATCAAGAGGCTCTTTAGTTCCTCTTCACTTTCTGCCATTAGAGTGGTATCATCTGCATATCTTAGGTTGTTGATATTTCTCCCGGCAATCTTAATTCCAACTTTTGATTCATCTAGCCCTGCCTTTCTCATGATGTCCTCTGCATATAAGTTTAAATAGGCAGGGGGACAGTATACAGCCTTGCCGGACTCCTTTCCCAATATTGAACCAATCAGTGGTTCCGTGTCCAGTTCTCACTGTTGCTTCTTGACCTGCATATAGGTTTCTCAAGAGACAAATAAGATGGTCTGGTACTCCCATCTCTTTAAGAACTTGCCACAATTTGTTGTGATCCACACAATCAAAGGCTTTAGCATAGTCAATGAAGCAGAAGTAGATGTTTTTCTGGAACTCCCTCGCTTTCTGCATGATCCAGCGTATGTTGGCAATTTGATCTCTAGTTCCTCTGCCTCTTCGAAATTCTGCCTATACTTCTGGAGGTTCTCGATGCACGTACTGCTGGAGTCTAGCTTGTAGGATTTTAAGCATAACTTTACTTGCATGTGAAATGAGTGCAATGGTGCGATCGTTTGGACATTCTTTGGCATTGCCTTTCTTTGGAATTGGAATGTAAACTGACCTTTTCCAATCCTGTGGCCACTGTTGAGTTTTCCAAATTTGCTGGCAAGTTGAGTGTAGCACTTTTACTGCATCGTCTTTTAAGATTTTGAATAGCTCAGCTGGAATACTGTCACCTCCACTAGCTTTGTTGTTGCTCAGATTTCCTAAAGCCCATTTCACTTCACATTCTAGGATGTCTGGCTCGAGGTCAGTGAGATAAAGCTGGAAGATAATGACGCTGGAAGATGAGCCCCTCAGGTCGGAAAGTGTCCAGTATGCGACTGGGGAAGAGCAGAGGGCTAGTAGTACTAGTAGCGCCAGAAAGAGTGAAGCGACTGGGCCAAAGCCGAAAGGACACTCAGCTTTGGATGCATCTGGTGGTGAAATGAAAGTTGGATGCTGTAAAGATCCACTCTCCATAGGAACCTGGAATGTAAGATCCATGAATCAAGGCAAACTGGATGTGGTCAAACAAGAGATGACAAGACTGAACATCGACAATCTTAGGAATCAGCGAACCAAAATGGGCAGGAAAGGGTGAATTTAATTCAGAGGACCATCAGGTATACTACTGCGGGCAAGAATCCCTCAGAAGAAATGGAGTAGCCTTCATAGTCAATAAAAGAGTAGGAAAAGCAATACTGGGATACAATCCCCAAAATGACAGAATGATCTCAGTGCGAATCCAAGGCAAACCGTTCAGTACAGTGGTTCTCAACCTGTGGGTCGGGACCCCATTTGGGGTCGATCGACCATTTCACGGGGGTCGCCAAGCAAGGCTGTCTGCCATTTTTTTTGTCCGCCATTTTTTTCCCCCTTTTCCGGCGGGTGCCTTACCTCCCTTGGGCTGGGCCAGCTGGTGGTCGGCCTGCTCCGTCTCTGCCGCTTGCCAGCTACGCCTCGGCCGGCGCAGGGGGCGGAACCACGCATGCGCGGCACTCCCGGGCAGGGAAAGTCCTCGACTTACGACCGGTTGGGTAGTCCTCGACTTACAACCGGTTTAGTCCTCGACTTACGACCGGTTTAGTCCTCGACTTACGACCGGTTGGGGTCGCGGCATTAAAAAGGTTGAGAACCACTGGTTCAGTATCACAGTAGTCCAAGTCTATGCCCCAACCACTGGTGCGGAAGAGGATGAAACCGACCGGTTCTGTGAAGCCCTACAGCACCTGATAGAATCAACACCAAGAAACGATGTCCTTGTCATCATGGGGGACTGGAATGCTGAAGTAGGAAGCCAAAAGATAACCGGAATAACAGGCGAGTTCGGCCTGGGAGTACAAAATGAAGCAGGGCACGGGCTGATAGAGTTTTGTCAAGAGAATAGGATGGTCATAGCAAACACTCTTTTCCAGCAGCCCAAGAGACGGCTCTACACATGGACATCGTCAGACGGTCAACACAGACATCAGATTGACTATGTGCTCTGCAGCCAAAGGTGGAGAAGCTCTGTACAGTCAGTAAAAACAAGACCAGGAGCTGACTGTGGCTCAGATCATGAGCTTCTCATTGCAAAATTTAGGCTTACATTGAAGAACCGTCCGAGCCTGAATCCGAGGAAGACATGGAGTTAGAGCAGGACTCTGTTGAGACCCAGGAGGGGGTGTCTGTGGCATCAGAGGACTATAGAGAGGAGGCCAGGGCCCTTCAGATTTGGAAGCGCCCCCCCTCCCACCTGATCCTAGAGCAAGGAGAACAGAGAGGAGGAAAGAACAACGGAGGCAGGAACATCAAAATTGCTCGGGAGGAGAGCATCCCGCACCACTCCACAAGGCACACCTGGGGATTAAGATTTAAGGAGACGCTGTGGGGTGGGGGCATTTGCCGGGAACCAATGTGGTATCTTGGGACAGTTGTGAATTGTGCTCTTTGTCTTTGTTTAACTTGTACACTTTGAAACCCGGACCGGTTGGTTTCCTGCTTCACCACCGCAGACTGCATTTCTTTTTCTTCTTTTTTTTTTTTAAACAATATTTTATTAGGTTTTAAAGGGGTAAGGGAGGGGTAAGGTCAATATAGGTAAGGTGACCAACCGTCCTCCTTTAGGGAGGACAGTCCTCCTTTTGTAGGTTCTGTCCTACCTCAAAAAGTGTCCTCCTACATGTCCTTCTTTTCGATATTTGAAGACTAATCTGCAGGGCTTTTTTTTCCTCATAGAACGCTCAGAACGGCGTTCCGGCACCTTTTTTTTTAATGGGGTTTTTTCAACTTTTGCATGAGCTGTGCTACTTCCGCTTGTTCTATCCCAGCCTATAGCCGTCCTTGTTAAAGGCACAAGGACCAAACCCCTGTTGAGAAAATAGGCTGGAGACTTAAAACAAACCAAACCCCTTTTAATATGGGTGACAAACCTGCCGAATAGTCCAGAAACAAAAGCAGCAAAACACAATCCAAATGGAGGAAATTGTCCACACGAAACACGATGCAAACAGAAAAGTAGTCACCGGCAAGACTAACAGAACATGATCCCATGAAGTACTTTGCAACGGTTGCCTTCAGCAACCAGCACCGCCCACACCTTCCCTTTTTATACAGCAGTCCCCAAGGCGTTGCCTCTCAGTGCCTTCTCCTTTTCCCCTGGAGTTGTATTGACTGCTGCTGATCTGCTCTCGCTAATTGCCGGCATCTACAAGCATCAATCATCATGTCCATCAGGTGTGAATCCTCCAAGTCTAACTCATTCTCCCCACACAGCTGAGCTTCATCAAGAACACGACTGGAGGGTGCAGGTTCTTCATCAAACCGTGAGTCTTGTAATTCATCAGAGCCTCCCTCTGACCCTGATGGCCCTTCAAATGCCTCCTCCACCTCCTCCTCCTCAGATTCCCCAGACTCAGCTGTTGGGAACACAGGCTGGCACGGAATCACGACACCGCTATTGGCTTTCGGAAGCCAATAGGAATTGCTGCCGAGCGCGCCAAAACACCCAGCCGGCAAACTTTGCACATGCAAGCTGTCTGTATTATTGTTGCAATGAATAAAATGTTTCTTTTATTTACGATATTTTTTTTCTTCGATTTATTTGTGTCCTCCTTTTCATTTTAAAAAAGTTGGTCACCTTAATATAGGTCAGTGTTTCTCAACCTTGACAATTTTAAGGCATGTGGACTTCAACTCCCAGAATTCCACAGCCAGCAATGCTGGCTGTGGAATTCTGGGAGTTGAAGTCCACATGCCTTAAAATTGTCAAGGTTGAGAAACACTGATATAGGTATTGGGGTTCGGGGTTAGGGTTTCGGGGATAGAGTTGGGGTAAGGGTAGGTACAACAATGGGGTTGCCCCCAGTAACAATTCCACGCTTTTAGCAAGGAGACTATTGTCCGGATACAAATATTTCGTCCATCCAAGGATGTTACAGAATACCCTGTTCCACATCGTGGTGTTTCGTGCATGGAGAACAGTCAGCCAAGCCAACTTTCATTGATTATCCTAACTATAATTCCAGTTACAATAGTCTCTAGCTCAGGGGTCCCCACCCCCCGTTCCGTGGACTGGTCCCGGGCTGTGGCATGCCAGCAAACCGGTCCACACAAACAAGCAAGAGTCTCATCCGTGGGACGCAAGCAGCACACAAAACCACACGCACTGCATGAATGAATCTCTGTTGCGATGGTATTATTTTACCAAGGGAAAAAAAATAAATGTCTTGCCCTTTTCCAGCTGAAGACAGTTTTGCAAAAACCCCAGGAAGCTGCTCCTGTTCGGCCCAAGAAGCGCCCGGGTCCCAAGGCTGTAAGTCGCTGGTGGGACAGGTCTGTCTGTCTGTCCGTCCCAGCCGGCATGGAAGACACGGGCGTCCTGCATGCCTCTTTGTCGTGTTGCTTGGGAAATTCTGTCCATTGTCTATTTCTGTTCGTTTGTGCTTCTGAATTTCCTCTCTTGAATCCCTGACCTTCAGCCATCCTTCCGGAGAGGATCAATCACCTGTCTGAGGTGGTCTAGGTCAGGGGTAGGCAACCTTGGCTCTTTTATGACTGGTGGACTTCAACTCCCAGAATTCCTGAGCCAGCATGAGGGAAACTTTGGCCCCTTCATGACTCGTGGACTTCAACTCCCAGAATTCCTGAGCCAGCATGGGGGAACTATGGCCCCTTCATGACTCCTGGACTTCAAGTCCCAGAATTCCTGAGCCAGCATGGGGGAACTATGGCCCCTTCATGACTCCTGGACTTCAAGTCCCAGAATTCCTGAGCCAGCATGGCCCAGCTTGGAAACCTCTCCCTTTCCCCTCAGCGTGGCTGGCTCAGGAATTCTGGGAGTTGAAGTCCACCAGTCATAAAAGAGCCAAGGTTGCCTACCTCTGGCCTAGGCCGCTTTATGACTCGTGGACTTCAACTCCCAGAATTCCTGAGCCGGCATGGCTCAGCTTAGAAACCTCTCCCTTTCCCCTCAGCATGGCTGGCTCAGGAATTCTGGGAGTTGAAGTCCAGGAGTCATAAAAGAGCCTAGGTTGCCTACCCCTGTCCTAAGTCCTCCTGCCTCCTAGACCAGGGGTAGGCAACCTGGGCTCTTTTATGACTGGTGGACTTCAACTCCCAGAATTCCTGAGCTAGCGTGGCTCAGCTTGGAACCCTCTCCCTTTCCCCTCAGCGTGGCTGGCTCAGGAATTCGGGGAGTTGAAGTCCACAAGTCATAAAAGAGCCAAGGTTGCCTATCCCTGGCCTATACCCAGAAAGTTTTATTCTACTGGTAATCTGTGTTAACCAAGCATACCGGTATTTGTTTCTTGAGGCAGAATTTGGTATTCTTAGGAAGAAAAAAATACAGTCTGAGGTAATGCTTCCCAACCTTGGTGTGTCTGGACTTCAACTCCCAGAATTCCTGAGTCAGCATAGCTCAGCTTGGAAACCTCTCCCTTTTCCCTCAGCGTGGCTGGCTCAGGAATTCTGGGAGTTGAAGTCCACGAGTCATAAAAGAGCCAAGGTTGCCTATCCCTGATATAGGTCCTCCTGCTTGAGCAGTGGGCTGGACTAGAAGACCTCCAAGATCCCTTCCAGCTCCTATTCTGTTCTATTCTATTCTATTCTTTTCTAATCAGCATTTTGGCTTCTTTAAGCCGTAAAGTAATTCCTCACTTCATTTAGAGACATCCATGCCTCGTAAGCATTGGATGCTTATAATAGTGATACCCTATACTTAAATATGAGTCGGTTGCCAGCCGTCTGAATTTTGATTACAGGACCAATGGGATGCTGCAACAGTCGCAAATTTAAAAAGTGGTCCTCAGTTACTTTTCTCAGTGCGACGGTAACGTCAAACGAATGGTTGTAAGTTAAAGATAACCTGTACCTGATTGACGAATTGATTATAGGTCATCAAATAATGGGCCGATGTTTAGCAACCCTGTAGATTTTCTCAATGAAAAAAATCTGTTGCTTGGCAGAAATCCCTTCCCACGCAGGTTTCCTGCCTGAGCAGGGGGGTTGGACTAGATGACCTCCAAGGTCCCTTCCAACATCACCATCATCATTAAATATTATTATTATTGTTGTTGTTGTTGTTATTACTATTACTATTATTATTATTATGGCACGATTCAAGAGAGGGTTCCGGTTCACTCAAGAGTTTGCGCTGCTAATATCTTGCATGCTTTCTCTCTTCCCCCCCTCCCCAAATCCCTTTTAATCTTTTGTGGGTTTCACAATTTGTTGTTGCACTATGCCAGAGTAGCTTGTTGATGAATGCAGAAGAGAATCCTTTTGTTTATGCGGGGGAGGGGTGGGAATCAAGCCAAAATTGGATTGAACTCTATAGCTCAGGGGTCTTCAAACATGGTCCTTTTAAGACTTGTGGACTTCAACTCGCAGAATTCCTCAGGAAAGGGAGGGAGGGAGGCAGGAAGAAAATGGATGGGAAGAAAGGAAGGGAGGGAGGCAGGAAGAAGATGGATGGGAGGAAAGGAAGGAAGGAAGAAGATGGATGGGAGGAAAGGAAGGAAGAAGATGGGAGGAAAGGAGGAAGGAAGGAAGAAGATGGATGGGAGGGAGGGAGG